AACAAAATTCCATTATATTAGGATGGAGTCAGAAATCACAAAACAGATACCTCAAACTTCAGCACATTAAACCAAAACTATCTGCATAGATACCGCTAGTGGTGAGAGTTTTTTTGTTGATTTGAGTAACACCGTTCACTGAAAATACAGTTTGTACTTATATGCAGCAATGGCTACCACTGTTTACTGTATTTTCCTATCTAACATGACTTTTACTGCATGTACAAGAATTCTGTTTAGTATACCCTTGATTTAAATATGGTGGACAAATTACAAATTATTAGAGTATAGAGTATAAAGCAATACAATGCAGCAGCAACACAACAACGTCCAAATTGATGTTGAATTAACAACTCTCAACAAAAATGTTTATTATATATCATAATTTAAATTACATTCATGAAAGGAGGACAGCTGTGTTAGACTGCATACATTTTTGCTAGGTGTCCTCCATAAACCTATGTTTATAATTATGGGTAAAAATCACATTTCCTCATGAGCTGTACACAGTCACAATATCTCTAAACTCACAGTAGCACCTGTCAAGCTCCTATAGTCTGCCCAATACGATAAAGCTACTGTAACTCTGTGAACAGATATTTTCATTGCATGGGTCACTGCACTGGTCTCCATGCTGCAGATTCCTGTGTGTGTGGTCTGCTGGGTGGCAGCAGGCTTTATAGGCATGGCTCACAAGTCTTGAGGTTTACATTTTGGCAGTGGCAAAGGCACAAAATATATGAACGGATGATCATCTTACAGTCTTCAGTGACAGGAAGTGAGGTTAGGGGGGTCAAATGCAGAATTCAGGGATTATCCAAGCTTTTGTTTTTCCTTCATACATGGTATATTGTGTTGTTGTTTTATGAGTTAAATTAGACCAGTGAAACACTTTCTCTCACACCCTTGGAGGAAGACCTGTGTTTGTTTTGTGTGTGTGTGTGTGTGTGTGTGTGTGTGTGTGTGTGTGTGTGTGTGTGTGTGTGTGTGTGTGTGTGTGTGTGTGTATGTGTGTGTATGTGTGAGTTTATACTGCTGGGATGCCAGTTCTTTCACAGACCCCACATCACCCTGAGCTTCCAAGCTGTGAAAACATACTGGAGGTTTGTTGGTTCTTAGTGGCTAATAAGGTGTCATTGTGTGGTAGAGCTGTCTGATATCCCACAGAGTCATTAGGACGACATGAATAGATTTAACAGAACATCTATTACACTCATGCACGTGTACCTACACATGTGCGTCTCTTCATGTGCAAAATCAGCCTTTCACTCCACAAAAAAAGAATCAATACTTTTTATGAGATAAGATTCCAGGAATGGACAGGCTCTTGTTCAGTTTTCTCTGACAAGGTTAAATTGTGCTCTGCCACAGGAATACAGACTTGAACCACGATTAGAACCTGCAACATCAAAGCACTCAGCTTTCAAAGGCTTTCTTTTACAACTAACTTCAGGAGTCCCGGCTCCTATGTGTCCAGACAGCTTATAAAAGGCTGTTTTCATCCTCACCTCCCAATTCAACACCACAGATTCCTCTCTCACCACCACTGGACTGCTGTTATCAGATATCCCCTGATATGATGTCTGGATTTCTCTACAGATTGGGACATTTTGAGTCTATTGCTGAGGGAAAAATGCTGTCATCCAACTCTGCTGTTTTGACCTTGTTAGTCCAAAGGGTTGATTTGAGGCTATCTGGGGCTGCTCTTTGAAGAACGTACCCCTGTCTTTTCTCATCCCGTGCAGCTGATCCATCTTGGCGGGCTGGCACTGGACTCATTGCGGTTAAACTTTAATGGAGTGAACATGAATATCACTGTCAATTGTGGGAGCCTCGTACATGTGGAGGACTGTGGTTTGTTATTTCAATAGATATGAGTAGGCTGATAGAGAAACACTGCCTTCCAGGGCTCGAGCAGAGAAAATAGACAGGTCTCTGTGGATCTGGCTCTGGCTCAGGACTTAGTGAGTGAGAGCCTGAGTTGTGTCTGCCTTGATGTGACCTTGGGGAGAGGTGGTTAATGACGCTCTGGGGTCACTCATGACTGGTGTGTCAAGTTGCATGAGTCAGTAATATACACTTGACTTTATCAAAACACCCACTCACTGCTCATTGATAAGGACAAAGGCTTTCTTCATCTGTTATTAGCCACCACTGCAGGCCGAGCGGACAGCAGTGTACCGCAAATCACACCAAAAAACAATCAGCGCTGTTTATCTCCTCTTTATGTTCTTGTAATTGTCAGCCCCTGACAGTCTGTAACTGACTGATGAAGGTTTGTCCTTATTAAAGATCAACACTAGAGGAGTTGTCCTGTGATGACATCATATTCCCGAGAAGCAGCTGTGTTTTCTCAGAGTCACTTCAGCAGCAAAGAGCTGAACTGCACACAGCAATCTGCCAAGAAATGTAAATGTAAAGTGGGTGTCAATACTAGCTTTTGCATTATTATTATTTTTAATGCAGGGATGATGATGTGTCCTTATGGGCTTTGGGTCAAAGATCAAATCTAGCTGGATTTGGTCTGGTTTTATTGTTTTTATTCAATTCGATTCAAACATCATGATAAAATACATACAGTCATAAAGCTCTGCTGATATGTGCAGGGGAGGAATGAAGCCAACAGGCTTTCACAAAGTCCTCCCCTATGAAAAAAAGCAGAGATTCAAAAGTATAATCATAAATATCAGAAGAAGAATTCAACAAAAATAACAACAGCGGGTAAAAGAAAATGGAAACACAAGACCTTTGCTGCATGTCAGCTCACCTCATTCACTATCACTTCTTTAATGTGTACTAAAGGCACACTGGTGGAAGAGGTAGTCAGATACATTTACTTAAAGAAAAGTAGTGACACAACACAAAATACTCTCTTACCAGCACAATTTTAATGTGACTTAGGTATAAGTATTATATGATGAACCTAAAATATCAAAAGTTAACATGTAAGCAGTTAGTTGAACAGCTTCACTGTTTGGAATTTTAATCTGTAACAATGCATCATAATTAATAACATGATTATGTTTTGTATGAAAAATCTTAATCTAAGAAGTAACCACTACAGTTAATATTAGTGGATTGCAGTTGATTAAAAAGTACTACGTTTTAGTTTCCCTCTGTTCACCACTGTAAAGGCAAATAGAAGCCAAATAATAAATTAAATACTTTAAAAAGCCTAAAGAATGGGTGCCCAGTTAGCTCAGTGGGTAGAGCTGGCGACCCATGTACTAAGGCTCAGTCCTTGCTGCAGCGGCCCAGGGCTCGAATCCGACCTGCGGCCCTTTGCTGCGTGTCATCCCCTCACTTTGTCCCCCTTTCCTGTCTTTCTTCAGCTGTCACTATCATAAAAGCAATAAAAAGCCCCAAAAAATACACTTTAAACGTGAAAAGTTCACTCTTTGTTTACACATTGCATGGAATATGTAACACATAACCAGGGAAGCAAAGCAAGCTGTAAATATAAAAGTCAAATCTACTGACTTTTTGCTTCTATTGTTACGAGATACAGCAAGAAAAATTATGGCAAAATGACTGAGAGAAGATGGCTAGAGAGCTGCCTGCTTACCTGTGAGATGCAGCAGGTAGAGAGTTGTGTGTGCTGAAATCAGCACCATGGACAGGGCAATGACACAGGTACACTCAACTTAAAGAGGTTTGCTCTTTCTCAGTCAGCCTCATCACCTGAATATTCAGATAAATGCAATTTTCAAACTTGAAGTTTTGAAATTTCAGATTTATTTTACAGGAGAGTGATGAGTCTATATTTTGGGGTTAGAAGATGTGATGAAATTGCCAAATTCTTGAACTAAAATGTAAAATGTTTGCAGTAGAAAGAAACACCTAAACAAGCCTGTGTTTCCCCTGGAACAATACTTCACTCTCAGGCCTATACGAGGATGTAAATGGATGTTCACCGGTGTTGTGACCTCTGACCCCGACTGCCCCCTGTTTCCTGAACCAGATGCTGCTCCTGTGGACCACAGCCTTCTCAACCTAAACAAAGTAATCCTCCACTAAACAAGACGGATATTGTATCACCAACCTAGTAAATACCAGAGGGTCTTAAACATAGAGCTGCCCTCTTCTCGCCTCTAACTGAAGCCAACAGGGAATAATCACTTGTTGTATTGTTTTATGGATGAACAAAGTGATATAAACTTTATTTTACCACAGTTTTACATATATTTTGTGGTATGTTACAGTATACCAAAAACATGCCCTCTTGTGGGGGATATAATTAGAGCATGCAGCACTCCTTCAAAGAAAAGTTTGAAAATCTGCAGTACTGGCTACATGTCAAAAATGTAAGACTGGGATCATATGTTGCCTATATGAAAGTCCTTTGATCTCACTTGATTTAAGTAGGACTAGATGGAAACATAAATCCAAAATCTGTGTGGGTTAGGCCTACAGAGATGTGCCATGGTTGCATAATACTTGATTTAAAATTTAAAAAAGTGTCAGCGAATACAGTCACTGGAGATTATAATATAGCAGCAGCAAAAAAAATAAAAAATTGGGGCGCCGATGGATGGATGAGGAGATAGAAAAAAGCACTGTTTACAGTCAGACCTGCAGGAGAAGCAAAGGTGTTAAAATGTGTTAATTTAAATCATAATCGACTCTTTTTTAAACGTGATTTCGTTTCGAGTCTTTTAAGTATAGCCATAATGAGGCAATTTACTAGACTATTCGATTCCCCGCGCTTATGTAAACTTATTAAAATAAAATTAAAAGATGATTTCGCCTAATAAAACTCACAATGGAGTCATAATCATTAATATTATCACTGCTGTGTTGCTTCTTTTTTTTTTATAATAATAGTGTAATGATGTGAAATTGCAGCGTTACCCAGTTATCTTCTCCAACTCTGACTTTGTATCAGGAGACTCTCTGATAGTTCCTCGGATGCTCCCTCCCCTCGCCTCACGTAATTCATCTTCTTGGCCAATCCTGTCCCTCCCCAAAAAGTTTACGCCATGCAGCCTATAAGAACTGCCTAAGTTTCTCAAGTATCGGAAAAGGCTTGTCCTCCCAGGAACCCATCTATGGATACTTTGGTGTCTTCAAATCCAGACAGACCTGCAGGTGGACTAAATCCTTGACTTCATGAGAGGGAAATAATTTTTTGGACTCTTACTGGCCGCCATCTACCCAAAGAGGAGATGTCTGAGGAAAATATGGGGGAAGAGTCGGGCAGCTCCCCCGTCTCTCCTGTGGACAGCCTGAGCAACAGCGAGGGGGAGCTGGACAGACAGCCGAAGAGATGTGGGAGGAAGAGGAGACCGAGCAGGAAAAACGGGGAGGACTCAGATAGCCCGACCCCTGGGAAAAGAGGGAAGAAGTCCAGCAGCAGCAGCCCCCAGTCTTTCGAGGAGCTCCAGTCGCAGCGGGTCATGGCCAACGTCCGGGAGCGACAGAGGACCCAGTCTCTCAACGAGGCGTTCGCGGCTTTGCGGAAAATTATCCCCACTTTGCCCTCGGACAAACTCAGCAAAATACAGACCCTAAAGCTCGCAGCCAGATACATCGACTTCCTCTACCAGGTGCTGCAGAGCGACGAGCTGGACTCCAAAATGGCAAGTTGTAGTTATGTGGCTCATGAGAGGCTGAGCTACGCCTTCTCTGTGTGGAGGATGGAGGGCGCTTGGTCCATGTCAACATCTCACTAGCATCTGGAGAAATTATGCCCTAAATGGTACGCGTGATTTTCAGCTAAAAAGGTGCATGATCCAGGCCTTAAACACCCCACTAGAAATGTATTATTATTATTATTTTTTTTTTTTGCTGTACTGTGGTCTAATGCAACCTGAAACAGCTTTGTTTTGTATACTCCTCTGCACATTATAGTGATAATGAATGCCTTGTCTAACCTACAGGTGACTGCTGATTCTACTTATCACATTCTGACGGGACAAATCTGGAGTCCAATGCTGGATACATGGGATCACTCTATTTAAAACCAAAGACAGAAGCTCTGGGGGGATCTTTTTTGCAGAGGCCCGTCAGGGACCTGCAGCCGTGTGTTAGCTCCATACACCCCCCTCCCTCCCTCCCTTATTCTGGTGTGTTTTCATGTTGTTGACGACGAATGTTGAAAATATCATGTGTCTTTTTTTTATAAAAGATTTTTTTTTTAATGCGTGCCTTTGGACTTTTTTCTGTGGGGGTCAAAGTGCATTATTGAAGCAGTTGTCTCAGTGTTTGGTGTGAGACTGTCAACTGGTGGTGTAGCTCACATTATAGGCTGTGTGGATCTAACCTGTGCAAAAAAAAAAAAAGTATTTTCAGAATACATTTATTTATTTATTGGTGAAAACGTGGAGGAATAGATCCTGTGTCTGAAATACAAATACATTCCTATTTTTAATATCGTTTTTTTTGTAAATGTTTGTACATTTTTTGCATTAAAGAAAATGTCGATGAAAATGTTTGTTTTTTGACTTTGTTTTTGTGTCAATCTAATTTAATTGTTAATGGCAAAAAACACACTGAAATTTGGAATTATATATGAAATGAAATAGCTTTCATGCATGTATCACGTGGACTATACTTCATATCAGATTTAATGACAAAAGCTTCCACTATATCGCCAGCCACTTGGGAAAACAGATGGAGTTATTATTGGCTCGAGTAAAAGCGTTGGAGAAACATGCAGCTATTTTTTTTATATTGTTACACATCCAAAAAGAGAGAAAAAAAGGAAAACAATTCGGGGTTTATACATTTCCCCGTCCTTTATAACTAAAAACTATTTAAGGGAAAAGGCCAGTGTTAACACATAATTTAAACGTGAGAAAAAGTTTTACTTCTGCAAGAAAAAGAAGAAGAAAAAACTGGTGTAAAAAAAACAAAGTCAGTCAGTCTGGATAAACTAAGTTAAAATTCCATTTTAATTAAAATTTTAAAAGCCTCATGCAGTCTCCAGTTTCTCTCTCACTCTCTCTTTTCCTGGATTTGTTTACAGTTGGATTAAGGACTGGACCTGAAACTCACCGTTATAAGTAAATAAGTTATACTGGGGTCATGTCAACCTGCTGTTGGGCCCATGCTACAGTGTCTCCTCCGCCTGTAGCTCAACATAAACAACAATGCAGTTAAGTGTTTCAGGATTTTAGACGTTTTGTAAATGCAGAGATCAAACTGAGACCACTTTCTTCTGCACTGTGTTTATTGCAGCATAACAATGCCTGTGTATACTCCATGATGGCAAAGTCAAACAACAATAAATCATAGGATTATTTTACCTATTGCATTAGTGTGATTTTTGCAGATCTGGATCGCGAAATTATAACCAGCAGATAAGACATCCTGCGTCTTTGAAAGGTAATCCCAATTATTGTCACTAAATAAATCTTTCCAACCGTTATCGGGCTGTGATTGATCTCAGAGATCTGGGAAAGTGTTTCTCACTGTCCAAATGAAAGTGTGTGCCCGTTTGAAGGTGTGTAATTGGCTTGCGAGGCATGTATGGAATTCCCAGATGTCTATGAAATTTAAGGAGGCCGTGAAGGTATGGCTATAGGTCTGTACATATAGAGGCTATTCTCACTGGAAGTTTGAAATGCTTCACACACACACACACACACACACACACACACACACACACACACACACACACACACACACACACACACACACACACACACAGTTTAGATCAATAAACAGCTTTTCTCCAGACCTTTACAGTTGAGGCTTTTCACTCAATACCAGATAAATAAACAGGGGCTATAATAAATATAAGCTGTAACCCATTGGTGACATGTATATATATATATATATATATATATATATATATATATATATATATATGGCTTTTTCTTTATTGAAAACAATTTCTAATGCAGCCCTTACGCAGTGCAATGGACTCAAATAAGTTCCCTCTCTCCCTTCTTTCAAGAGAGAGGAGTTGGCAATTGACACGATGCAGAGGCACAGAATGAAACCTATTTAGAACAGATGTTAGTATTTTTAAAAAAGTCACGTGAAATGAGCAGATGTTCAGACTGTGCAGAGACTCGCCTTGCAGTGCATTACTGTGCAGAGAGTGAGAGCTCGGAGCAGCTTTGCCTCCACGCAGACACGAACTGTGGGTTAGTGGGTCCTACATGCAGATCATCCAGTTGGTTTGATTAAAATGGATTTATAAAAAAGGGCCACCTGCGGGGAGTGATATGGAGCAGGCTGACCGCGCTGAGACAAAGGTAGGCTGTGATAGAAAAGGTATGAAACACTTCTGACTGTGTAACATGTTCACTTGTTGATTATTTAGGATGTAAGATGATGATGAGAAGATCAGGAGGTTTTTTTATTTTTGAAGCTTCCGACACTAACGGGCCTATACTGCCGTCGAAGTTTCAGACTACTTTGAAGCGGAGTAGTGTGTGTGTGTGTGTGTGTGTGTGTGTGTGTGTGTGTGTGTGTGTGTGTGTGTGTGTGTGTGTGTGTGTGTGTGTTGGGGGAGGGAGGAGGTTGAAGGGAGGGGAGTAACTGAGAAATGGACGAGAATTCATCATCCAGCGATTGGAAGAAAAAAAGAACTGAGTGACACACATAAATCCCTGACTAAGCCTATATACCAGAAGTGTTGTGTCACACACTGACAATAAGTTGAATAAAAAAAAATGACTGAATTGACTTCAGTATCAAATTACAATTGACCTTTTTCTCTATTTTTTTATTATCGGATTAAAATGTTTCCAGATGATTTGTTCTGAATCTTTGTTCAGCTGCAGGATATAAACCTATAACTTCTGTAACGTTGGTGTATTAAATAGCCAGTGTGATTTTAATTAAAATGTATTAAACATTAAAATTATTATGATTATGATTATGATTATTATTATGATTATTATTATTATTATTATTACTGTTAAATTAATGCATTGTATTAGGCTGTAGTCATGCCTGGCTCAAAAATGACAATTCTTTCCATAATAAAATCTTCCAGTTTTGTATCCAAATACCGCAGTTCATTCACGTGCATCTACAGCTTACAGGTGATATATCACGTCGGATAGGTTAGCCATAAATTATATTACAATTACAGATTAATTGTTAATTATTTATGCGTTTAATTAAGTTTTTTAATTAAGTTTTGTCCGGTATCGCTGCTGGAAATGATTGTTGTATTTATTTTTTGCGTTTGTAGAATCTTTATTTGATTCGTTTTTTAATGCTTCTTATTTGAAATTTGTGTTGTAATTGAGCATTTATGAAAGAGCCCGTTAGAATAATTTTAACAATAGGCCTATATGTACTCAAGCCAACTTAAGCTTGTTTTGTTTCATTAAAAAGTTTATTTCTGAGCTCAACAGGAAGAGCAGGTGCAGACTTTACTGCCAGTTCCACAATTTTAAGTGAAACTCCATATTATCCTGTTTGAGGCTCAGTGAGAAAGGAAAAGTCCTCTTGTTGGTAATCAAACTTTTTCTGGCCCACACAAAGTTTCATCCACACCTTTAAACAATGCCTCAGAAAGTGAATATTAAAGCCAGGAGTAGTTGAGCTGCATGGAGATAAGATCAGAGTACAGGACTGTACTTGGGGCAAGGAAACAGAGGAGAGGATAAACAGAAACAGACAGCCACAGTGCATTCCTCCTGCATCTGCAGTCTGCTGATTATTGAATACATTAACATCTATAATGCAGCTCATTGTTGAGGGGGCATTTTATTTGATACACATGTGAAAAGTCAGATCAGTTGTTGTCCAAAAGAAAGACTTGAGAGTTAAAAGCAGCCATATTGTGTAACGTCCATGTGGATCCACACATCTGTGCAAGAGATTTCATTTTATATGTGAATGATAAAGAGGGAAAATCTGAATTTTTAGAGCAAAATGGAAACTCTGTTATTGGTATGTCATTGCTTTTATAATACCAACACTGGCTTCACTGCCTGGCTGAGAAAAAAGTCACAGCAAATATGATGAGTATAAAAAATAGATTGTTATCCATAATCTTTGTACATCTCTGAGCAGATGGCAGCTATGAGTACCTGTTGGGTCCTCTGACCTTTGCTGCTGTTGAAAATTAGCATGTATACCTGCAGCTGTGTATACGTTTTCAGATGTCAGCACCATGAGATCAGGGCTCAAATTGTGAAGAACTGTGTGTCAAAGAATATTTTCACTCTTTGCTCAGTTGATTGTTTAGATATTTAAAACAGTTTAAGAAAATCATTGATCATTGTCAGATTATTTTTTTAGTTCCTTTGTCACCAGATGTGTTCTGATCTGTTTTATTAAATAAAGCTAAAATTTAGCTTTAGATGTGAAAGTGTACTCAAGCTTAGGATGATCAATAACATGCAACTGTGGATACTTTTGTTTTGTTTTTTAGCACAGGCGTGTTTCTAGAAAATGCATTGCACACTGAGTTTGAGACCCAACAGGACTAAATGTGCTAAATTCCCTGCTTCAGAAAAGTTTTTATCTGCAATGAAATTAAGCTCATTTGGCTGAGTTAGAACAAATTTCCAAAGTTCATAAGGTTTCACAGTGTACTTTTTTCATCAGAAATGAATGAGACCTAAAACGTTTCTCTTGAAAATGTCATAGATTATAATTTTGACAATCAGCTGTACAGCTGTACAACTCTGTAAAGTCACTACAGAGTTGTCATCTGGTAACAAACAGATGGATGGGAATCTCGCTTAGAGAGAGTACTTTCCCTTCATCGTATTTTTATAAATCAGTTTGATCCACGACAGGCTTTAATACTGTATCTCTTACCTACAGAAGGAAGGATACTTTATGCCAGAGAATATTTCTGTGCAGGTTGAGCAGCACTTACCTGATTTTTTTCAACATATGAGAATAAAACAGTGAGAGAGATGACTGTGTATGTGGCTTCAAAATTATTTGGCAAAATAAATGACTGAAATGTCTTTTTTGTTTGTTGATTTACTGATTACTGCTTGTGCTTTCAGACACATTCAAACTGCATTATTTATCTCTTATATTAAAAAGTCAAAGAAAACAAGTTTTTACGTATTTAAGAAATTACTGTTTACTTGCAGATATTGGCAATGAGAACACCCAAAACCTGTCTCCTCTCTTTTAATGAAACATTAATTTGCAAGATTTAAATATTTTTACCCTGAGTTTAGCAACATTAAGCATTAGTCTGATAATTTGTATGGTCCTTGAGGTAAATGATCTATGTCAAAATTACAATGTTGAGACAGTGGACACAACAGAAGGAGTTATATGCCTTTGGCTGTCTGAGAAAAATGTTAAATGCTTGTTTAAATCTGGTTGAAGGCTTGTGGACATGCACCATGTTTAAGTTGGCAAATTACAGATTTCAACTAAAAATGGGAAGCCATAACAGGTCAGTGTTTCATCACAGTGAAAGGCACACTGGTCATAAAGAATGACGTCATGATTCAGGCTGGCAATCTGACTGCACCCAGGACCAGAAATGTCCTTTGATACACTTCCAAAGGTCACAGTCAAAACATATGCACCTTGTGTTTAACCTTTGTTGCGTGTGATATGTGCCACCCAGGCTGTAGACAAGACACGGATCAGTGTGTTTTAGGGGAATACACAATGATGTCACAGACAGGAAAAGTCTGGAAAAGGCTTGGCACCTTTTGGAATTGGCCGGATCCCCATTGGCGCAGCAGAAACGCTGGAATAATAAACAGGCAATCAGAAGGCAGCGTGAGCGTACACAAAGGCATTGCAAAACTTTGCAGATAATAAAAGCAGATTTTTCACTCGAGGGGGATGATTATTTGTGTTCTTCAGTTGTCCATAAATAGAGGGCCTCTCACAGGAAGTATAAACATACAGATGAAGTGGAGGGCAGTCGCAGTCCAACGCAATGATTTCAAACATTCCTGTTTATGTTCAATCAAGATGGAGTGTATATATATAACTGTAGCCTCAGTTTGAGCACGTATTTTCTGAGGGAAGAGGGAAAAAGAATACCTCACTATTGAATGTAAACTGTTTGATGAGTGTTTCACTCATTTTATAAAGTGAGCCACATGTCTAGTAAAGCTTATAAAGCACATACATCAGTTCCATGAGTCCCAACACACTTGGAAAAGTTAATTCTATTTAAATATATTATTATTAATACACATTCAATATCATTATCTTATAATAAATGAGTGTGATATGCACCATGCTACCATATAAAATGTATTTAAAAAAATCTGAACTGATTCAAAGTAACCTCCTTATGGATGTGAATAGAGGCAGAACACAATTTGTCCCTTATTAAGGCAGACTGAAACATGCAGTCCTTGTGTATTGCCCGGGGGTTAATTGAGCTCTAATGATGCAGCATCCCTGCTTCTGTCCCTAAGGGCGCTCCACTCCCTGGGTATTAATCCCATTGCCTTCATTAACCTGCTGGCCCACCAGTCCCACCAACGCTGAATACCAGGACTCTAATGTCACGCTGATAATTGATGTGTTGTTACCTAGAGTTACAATGATGTCCTTATTCCTTCTGAACCATCTTGACTACTTTATTCTTATCCAATTTAGTGAATTCTTAGCAGCCAGCAGCATTATGTGGGTGCAGGGGAAATCTAATTGACCATCACCGCAAAAGCTCTCATACAGACTGAGGATTGTCTTTTTGGTTGGACAAAAAGGGACATACACGACACACCAACTCGTCACAATTTGTAATGGATGCTATGTTTACTAGTAGTATTTAGTATAAGGTAAAAACTGGCTGTTGAGGGTCATGTTGTTCATCAAGGTAGTATGATGCCAAGCCTAAACTGAACCTAATTAATAGACTTAATCTTAAGTTTTGGGACAGAAGTCCAGAGGATTGTGTTTATTGTTTAGTGGTTTTTAAAAACCTGTAATAACTTATTGTGCTCAAATTATATCCAGCACAAACAAACTACAATAAACTGCTCATGCAGAATAAAATCAATACGTGTTGTGTTGTTTTGATACGTGTTGCTTTAGGCAAGTTCTCACCTGTCTTCAATCTTCTATAAGCTATGACTCATCATGTATTTCCTCACATTCCAGCAGGAGCGTCGGTGCAAGATGCTGACTCCTCACACAAAGCGTCAGGATCCTGACGCCTGAGCCACCTGGTCAGATGACCAAGACAGTGACATCAAGAACAACAGTAACAATATGAAAAACAAGTTGTTGCTATATATATGGTGTTTATAATATTTATTAAAAAGCATTTGGTTACACAGGATGTATTTTCCTGATAACTTGCTGTAATTCTGACGCATTAATATGCTGTGCAACACAAGCCATAAAAAAGAATTTTATAATTTAAAACATTTTATTTTTTATATTGTTGTTAAGAGGTTTTTGTCACTGGTTGTGATGTTGATTGCACAGGCACCCTACTTAAAAACAACAGTGTATTAATTTTATACTGTAAATAGTGTAAATACAATCTAAAACATACACCTATTTAAAATGCTCATATTTATGCTTCTATAAGTATAAGTGAACAGAATAATGAGTGAAAAAGTGAAAGTTTTGCAGTCCAGGCTAATAGCAATAGGAATAAACTATTATAACAGTGAAGTCTGCCTGATACCCCATTAATAACTCCTGATAATCTCAATGTAAGACAACATAAACCTCATCTTATCTGCTCTATCACCATGTCATCAGAGTGCTGGCCTCATCCTCTACAACAGAGGACCGGCTGTTTGTGACCTTAGTGCTAAATCAAGTTCAAAGAGGACCACTGGTGTTTGGCGGATAGTTTTACATAAGGGCAGTGGGAGAACAGTGTGTTTGGTCAACCTCTGGCTCCCTCTTTGATTCGCAGCTCTCTGTGACCCCTGGCAGAGTGACACCACTTGAGGCGCTTCGTTCAGCCACACTGGCTAGTCTGATAAGATCTGGGTGATAACTGACTTGGGTTTCAGTCTCTGTTTAGTTAACCAAATTATTTTTTATTACTTTGCATTTTAGCAAGGTTTCCTCTCTTTTATATATATTGTTGCACATTAAAAAATCATTTTGGCAACATCACATAAAGCAGTCCCACTCCAGCAGAAGATTAAAAAAAGATTATAGGAAATACTACATGAAACAGTAACAGTGAGTGGTTGAGCCCACTCTGTCACTGACAAACACAGGCATTTATTAATTCCCACTGTGTCATTAGGGTATATGAATGCTAATTACTTCAAGTGGTCAAAGGCAGATCATTTTATTTCACTCTAAATGCTGTGAGTTTGTCTACACTTATACCTGTTACATCACCACTGCGTGGTTGTATAAAATCCTTTTAGAAATGGATGTTGCACATTGTTGGCATATGCTTCTTTTGCTTTTATCCAAGGGATATAAAAGAGGAAATAAAACTTAAGTCACTGATGCAATGAATCAAATCATTGTTTACCATTTGAACGGCCGACTTTGGTGCAGCTGATTGGCAGTGATTCACCTTTCCTTTTTTGAAATATATGAACAAGATGTCAGAACCACAGCATCTACTGTGTGAAAGCTGTAGTTTATCTGGGCCATGTTCTGCTGTTTTGGAACCAAATAGTCTGGTACCAGCGTACATTATCCGAGAGCAAAGAAATACATGTGGCACATTAACTTTCCACAGACAACGTCTGAACACAACTGGAAACCCATCAGAAAAAACAGCACTGTGTTTATTTTGTATTACAACTGTATTATCGCATTATAAGAATGAATAATGTATTGTATTTAGACTGCTGTTTTTTTAGGACGAAACTCAATAAAATAATTCTCTGAAGCAGGAGTACGGCTGAACGATTATTTCACAATGCATGCACTTTCCTGTGCTTTTTATGCAGTTTTAATGTTTGAAAGAAAAAAGTACAGTGACATAATATTAAAAATGTTAAGAAGTGTAAAGTTAGCAAGACAACTAATAGTACAAAGAGGTTCTTTACTGTAACCTTGACAAAATGCTGTAAAAAGCTGTAGTTTTGACTGTCCTTGGGAACATATGTTTAAGTGAGTAATTCAAGAAATGTTTCAAAGTATCAGATGTGCTGCAGTGAGTCACCATTTCTCACACAATGCATACGTTAGCTCTGTTGTATTCATATTATGTGTTATTTTGGTTCCTGACCTTTAACACTTGCCCCAGAGAGATGCAAATACCCAAAGAACATAATGGTTCCCTTCCTGTGCAAAAACTAGGCCCGTAAAGAAAGATAATTAGGGTTGTCATGACAACGAGGTCCAGCAGGCTGATGGTGCTGTGTTCGCTCTCAGAACTTCAAACGGTATCAAAGCTCCACCAGGGCTGGTACGGGAGCTCTGGTTTGAATTAGGGACCGACTTCCACAGTCTCTCTTCAAATTCAAGATCAATATGGAGCACCCCCTTCAAAAAAAAAGGAGAAAAGGGCCCAGCTAGTTCTCGTCCACACCGGCCTAGAGATCTGGATTTCATTAGAGACAATTATCTTATCTGTTTCATCTCAGTGCTGCCCCAAGGGGTTGGCAGGCAAACCAGTGGGCTCTTTGCAGTTTGAGAAAGCCTGCAGCCAGCCAGAGGCCCGTGGATCAGGTCATTAAAACACTGCTGCCCCTGCTGCTAGTGATAAAATATTTTCATGCTTTTGTAAATAGATTTTCTTCTTTCAACCCCACAGGACACAAAAAAACTTTTCTTCTCTGGATATCCCTGCATAAGGATGTTCTAAAAATTTGAGAGGAGTCAGCCAAAACATTGTTAGTTTTGCTCTCAGGTGAAGCTGCATGAGCATGTCTGTACGCTTGTTGATTTTCTCTTTCCAACCTGTGGCTGTACTTCATCATCAACGTGGGGCCTGCTTGCTCCAGTACCCAGGCAGCTTGTTAAGGCCAGTGTCACGGCATATGGCATGGACACCTGTCAAAGCAGCATGTACAGTACATTTATAGCCTTAACTGCACTACTCTTCACTGAAAGATGGGACAACTCTACTCCTGTAAGTGAAATAAGATCAGTTTGTCATGCTGCCTAGTGGGCACTATTAAAGGAATAGTTCAACATTTTTTGGGAAATGTATTGGCTTTCTTACAGAGAAGTAGATGTGAGCATTGATGCCACACTAAAGGCGATTATCTTTAGACTGGAAAGGAATTTAGACAGGAAAGGACTTTTATATATAACTAATTTACAGCAGCACATTTGGAAAGGAACATTATGCCACATTAATTAACCTATCTGGCAAGTCAAACTAATGCCAGATGTATCTGCTAATTATTCACTCACAATCCCTCCCTCTGCTGGTTTCCAGTAATTTTGCAGTGATTCCAACAAAGTTACTGCGCCCGAAAAACAAAAGCAACACGCCGTTTTTACACTTGGATTTTAGTACAGATTGAACTGATGTGTTGATTACTGAGCTTTAGAGGTGCTGGTAGGGGGACTTTGTTACCTTAGGGCAGAGCTAGGCTAACTATTGGCCCCTTTTTCCAGCCTTTGTGGTAAGCTAAGCTAACTGGCTGTCATATTTATCATAGTAGCTTGTCATAGTGTCATATTTACTCTAAAAACATGAGAACGGTATCAATCTTCTCATCTAACTCTTGGCTAGACAGAAAATAAGCATACTTACCAAAATGTCAAACTAAAATTTCAAGCTTGCTGACGACCAGCACTTGTTCTCTTTGAGAGGGCTGTAGGGACGGTTTAGGTAATCTGGTACAGCTTGACTCAGAAAATAGCTGCTCATTCAAGGAAGGGATGCCCTTTGTGGTTGAATGAGGGATTGGGGGGGGGGGGGCAAAGGAGCAGAGAGGGATATGAGGCCCATGCAGGACCTGGAGCTGAAATTGAGAACCCTCCTCATCAGGGGTTAGGGATCATGGGCAGAGACTTCCCTTCATCACAGCCAAGCTGGGAAATGCAGAGGACAGCATGGGTCAGCCCAGACAGCCCGCTGTGTGCTGTTACCATGGCAAACATCCCAAGGGCCAAAGAAAATAGATGACAAGTACAATAATATGAGGTGTAATCACGAAGGTCAGTTGCCTGCAATGTGCTGCCTCCACTCTCAAGGCTCCATATTCTTCAAAAAGTGAAAAAAAGTCAGTGTACTTTAAGGGAAAATGACTCAGTAATGTGGTAATTTTTCCTCCATGCCTCTAGAAATCAGGAAACCTTGAGGGACATGCTCTAGAGACTCTCCATGAGCAGCCATTGAGAGATTCCAGTCCACTTCCATTGCGAGATATTTACTTTCCGGTTCTTTGTACTGGGTGCCCTGCAGATGGAATCTAGCATCCTCTTTAAGGGGAAATTTTATGACTTATTAACTGTCAACAGTTCATAACCTCCAAGGAGCTATTAAACTTTCTCCTGTGGTCACACCAGAAATGCCAGTGTTTGATTTGGACTGGAAAGATATTTGAATGTTTTTGCTCTTCTCCACCCTGCGTGCAAGTGCAACAAAATACTCGAATCAGCTTAAACATCAGATCATTGTGTCAAGATAAGGATAATAATGTGCTTGCTTTGTTTTGAAATTACAGAAGGCACAGTGTGGATTTATTGTATAAGAACACAGTTCATCACAAGAGAGAGCACAGTGAGGAGACAAACCAAGCAACGAAGAATAGTGACATAACCCTGCAAATATTTAATAACCAATAAGCCATGCACTCCTTAAAAATAATAGTGGAACAATAAGATTTCTTACTGTAATTTAATAGTTCTTCTCTCAGCTGCAGGTGAATAACTGCAACATTCTCGTCATCTAAGAACCTTCTCCTCTCTCTCTTCTTTTTTTACATTGAGCTATTTCATAGATATATATTTGTACTTGAGAAATGGTGTCAGCAGTGTGACTAAATCATTTATCACCAGCCAAAAACAACCAGGATGAATAATTGAGTCCAGATGTAGCTGATTCAAGCTTGATACCAGGGTTCATTTCCTGTCTGTGCTTTGTAAGACAACCTATTACACCTCCCAGGCAGCTGCCGGGTATACTGGCCCAGCCTGAATATCAACACTCCTCAGGTGTCAGTGTAAGAATCACACAACACACACGAATGCTACTATCCTATCTGTAAGTCATATACGCCAAACACTGACGAATACAGGGGGATTATACTGCATCTTTGTGTAACTGCATGTCCTATTTTACTCATTTTTTTTAATTACATATCAACCCTGATTAACCTGGAATATAATAGTACATGTACTTCAGAACAGTTTGGTAGTTCATTTTAATATACTTACCATATATAATTAATTAATTCATATACTTACTACCTTTTTATGCTACTTGATACTTCTACTTCACTCCAGTTAAGAGGCTAATATTGTAAGTTTTTCACCTCTACATCACATTCATTTGGCAGATATAGTTACTTGAAACGTTTACATATAAAAATGAAAGAATATGATGCGTTAGTACAAATTAAACTATCAAAGACTGTATAAAGCAGGTAGAACCATAGCTAGCTAAAACATTAAAATGCTTCTTACAGCTTACAAGTCAGTAATATAACACTGAAGAGCTGTTCTGTCGCCTAATGAGTACTTTTACTTTTAAGTGCACTTTTGCTTGTAATAGTTTAGTATTTATACTAAAATACAAGATCTCAATACTTCTTCCACCACTGTTGTAACTAACTTTCTGTATCAGCAAACATTAAACTGCATTCTACCAAAATGTGCAATGTGGTTTTCAGGGTCAGGTATTCTATTTATCATAGAATGAAAAATAAAACACAAAGGATACAAACACAAACTCACACACACACACACACACACACACTTGCACGCAGTAGCAGTTCCCTTGTTTATTTTATATGCTAAAAGATCTGGGAGGCCATAACTCTCTGGCTGCCTTAAAAGCATTCTCTTCCGGCCCTTTGGCTCCATGTGGTAGTAATTACCACTGGCTCGGCCATGCAGGTGACTGACACTGAGTGACCACTCCTCAGCACCCATGCATGTGCTAATGAAGCAGAGTTTCCTGGTTATCTTTTTTTTTTTTTCATAAAGAGTGAGATACTTCTTTTCAGTTGCCTCCCTTGAGTGTTGGAACCCTTTGACAGTCACCAGTTATATAATATACTGTATCTGTTGAATGTTTTGGCAACTTGAGCGTTGGTATTTTCAATTCTTTTTCGCTGGAAAACCTGGTTATGCTCAGCTGTAGAGTGAAATGTAGCTGCATTTTGCAGGTGGGGCCAACTCTGCTGTCTTTCAAAACTGAGCTGTGTTACTCATGTTCTCACTGAAAACTGTATCCATCCATTTCAGCATGAATTGCATGCAAGTTTCAAAACAAATAAACATGAGTAGAGGCGGTTTCTATGGAGAAAATCAATCTGTGGAGGGATGTCAAGATTGTTAGGAAGAAAAGGTAAATAGTGGAGTGGAGTGGCCTGCAGACTTTAATGTTGTGTTTACAGTGTAATTAGTCTTTGCAGAATGAGATTCCTGACAGAGGGTCTGAGACGGCGTGGCATGATAAAATAAACTCTAAACAGCGCTGTTTCAAGACATCCTCCATGGACCATAAACCAGGACAGCCTCCGCAGACTACAACCACCCCTCTCTAATTTTCGAAATGGGTGGTCGGATTTTTTCCTCCATCTCTCTTGCGCATTATTTGTCTTTCCTTTTTTCCTTTTTCTCCCCAACTTCTTCTCTCCCTTTGTTTGTTCACCTTCTGTTTATGCCATTCACTCTCCTTACTTCTTTACATTTGCATTTTTGTTTTGTTCCTCCCGGTATTTGTCCATCAACTTCCTGCTCCCCTCCCATCCAGAGTGAACCCTGGTT